TGGCTCCTTGCTGCCTGGCGGTGGTCTGCAGACCTGACCACACGTGCCGGCGGCCAAGCGGTCTCAGGCACACGCCCCCACCGTGTGTCCATTTGCAGGTTATGTGTTGGCTCGGCTTACATGTTATTCTCTGCAGAAGAAGGAAGTGTGAATACCTAGAAGTTCTGTGGATACCACCTTGGGCACTCCTGGGGCTCGGCCCCACTTTGAAGGTCAGGATCGGGGCAACGAGCCCATTCCCTATGGCTCCTCTGGTGTCGTGGATACAGGAACGCTGCCCTCCGTCCTGGTGGGGACCGAGAGCATTAATGGGGTGCCCTCACCCTACTCTGATGGTATAACCTTCCTCGAGCATCCCTGTCAGTTATAAATTACAGGCTTCCTTTCAGTAAGTCTGTTTTTAAAAGAACGACACAGTCATACCTCCGCCTTGTGTGCGCTGTTTCCCACGCCACGGATTAGTGTCTTCCCAGCTCCTAGTGTGTCCCTACGTTTCGCTTCTAGGTATCATTCAGGATTTACCTTGAAATAATTGGGAAGGGTCCCAAGTTTACAATAATAGACTCATGAGGACCCTGGCGGGGGGCGGGGGGGTGGGGAGCGGGGAGGCTGCTGAAAGGTTTATACAGACCCAGGGTACCTTGTGTGTGGTTTTATCTGTGTAGAAGAATGTAATAGCTCCTAACTTAAGAAATAATAAACCAAAAGCCATAAAATACCTAGGAATAAATATAAGCAAAGAGGGGAGAAATCTATACACTGAGAACTATAGAAAGTTTATGAAAGAAATTGAAAAAGACACAAAAAAATGGGAAAAGATTCCATGCTCCTGGACGGGAAGAACAAACATTGTTAAAATGTCAACACTACCCAAAGCAATCTACATATTCCATGCAATCCCTATCAAAATAATACCAGCATTCTTCACAGAGCTAGAACAAACAACCCTAACATTTGTGTGGAACAGAAAGACCCCGAATAGCCAAGGCAATCTTGAAAACGAAAACCAAAACTGGAGGCATCACAGTCCTACTCCAAGACGTATTACAAAGCTGTCATCGTCAAGACAGTATGGTACTGGCACAAGAACAGACACTCAGATCAATGGAACAGAGTAGAGAACCCAGAAATGGACCCACAGACGTATGGGCAACTAATCTTTGACAAAGCAGGAAAGAATAGCCAATGGAATAAAGACAGTCTCCTCAGCAAGTGGTGCTGGGAAAGCTGGACAGCGACATGCAGAAAAATGAACCTGGACCACTTTCTTACACCAGACACAAAAGTAAACTCGAAATGGATGAAAGACCTAAACGTAAGACAGGAAGCCATCAAAATCAACACTTCATCGACACATTCTGAAACACTTGTGTCGGTGTTATTAGTCTGTACGCAATTTAAAATTAAAGTGAGCCACTGTCCCTCATGGCAAAATTCAAAATCTCCATATAGGCTAGTGACGCTTTTTTTTGCTTCATGGAGGTAACGTAAGGTTTGGGTCAAGTCCAGCATCGTGGTTTATTACTTAAGAGTCGGGCGGCCTTGAATACTGAATACAGAAGTGTAAGGTACCCACAGTGCCAGGCCTGGTTAGTTTGGTAACATTCGGTTCACGTTACAGGGATGATCAGAAGAGTAAAGTACAGGTTCAAGTCTGTCACACCTCTTTTCCTTCTTTCAAGATTAGCAATGCTAATTTAGAAGTTTGGTTTGGGGGGATTTTTTTTTTTTTTTTTTTTTTTTTTACTTTTTAAACCATGAAATTCTAAAAGCCAAATGAGGTTTTAGGAAATAGAGTTCATGAGATTAAATTTTTTTTAATATTTATTTATTTTAGAGATTGAGACAGAGCATGAGTGGGGGAGGGGCAGAGAGAGAGGGAGACACAGAATCCGAAGCAGGCTCCAGGCTCTGAGCCATCAGCCCAGAGCCCGACGCGGGGCTCGAACTCAAGAACGGTGAACTCATGACCTGAGCCGAAGTCGGACGCTCAACCGACTGAGCCACCCGGATGCCCCAAGAGTTCATGAGATTATCATCATGACAGACTCTTTTATAAACTATAAATGAAAATAGTACAGTCACAACTTAACTGTCTGGAACCCTGGAAGAATTGACATAAATGCCGGAAGGCTGAGATTTTACTGTCTTTTAGAAGAATTTTAGATAGAAAACTTTAAATCTGTTTTACTCTGCTCTTCCTCCTTAATCAGAATAAATTTGTTTTAGTGGTTTTGGTGATAACCTTGTCTTTACTCTGAATGTCAGTTCTTATCACTGTGTTAAAGGAGTGAATGATGCTTTCAGATGCTTTTGAGGTAGGTGAGACCTAATGACACCACCCTGGAGGACCCCAGGCGTGCCCTTGCTTTCGAGCACATTATGCTGCCATATCTGGATCTGCCACTTAATGGCGTGGTGGCCCGAGGCTGTTGAAGCTCTCCGTGTCTGGGTCCTCATGTGTCTCTTGGGGTAAACACAGCCTTCTTCGTTTTCTCCAGCGTCATGAGCCTGAGAATCCCAGATAGGTTCCAAATATACAAGCCGTGACTACAAAATGAACTCATTGAGGTGATCCTAGCAGACCGGAGGATGAACCAAGCTGTAGAGTTAATTGAGTGAGGATTGAGGTCAAGCAAGGAGGTAATTCAGAAAAGGAAACCTTTTCATTGGGAGAGGTTGGGCCCAAACACCGTAGCGGTCGTCATTCGTTGAAAATGATTCAACAGACAGACACCTACTACTCAGAATGTTTATGAATCTGGTTCTGCAAGCCTCGTTACTGGGCGTTAGGGGTGCACGGAGAACTAGAAAACGTAGTCACCTGGCCCGTGCGTTCGGGGAGCATGTGGGGGGAAGCATGAGATACTAGGCAGGATAGCTGAGATGCGGGAAGCAATAGCTAGTGCGCAGCGCCCGGCTCGGAGCGCGGCCCGCGGCTGACTAGGTTGGCAGAGCCCTGAGCAGGAAACGGGCAGCTGGTGGCAGGAACGAGGAGGAGCCGGGAGGACACTCGGGGCGAAGAGGGTGAGGGCGCGAGCACTGAGGCAGGAAAGCCCGAGGGCCCGGAGGTGCTCCCTGGGCGCAGGTGGGTGTGGGGTCTCAGCTCTGGGCCCGGGACCCCTTCACACTCCTAAACGTTATGTAGGACCCCCGACGAGCTTTTGCGTATGTGGGTTTAGCTACCGATATCGACCGTGTTCCAGATGAAAGCAGAAAAGATAAAGTGTCTATTTATTAATTCATATAAAAATAACAAAACCGTGCGCTCGCTTTGGCAGCACGTATCCTAAAATTGAAAATAATAAACCTCGGGGCGCCAGAGTAGCTCAGTCGGTGACGCGTCTAAGTTTGGCTCAGGTCACGATCTCGAGATCCTTGAGTTCGACCCGGCGTCGGGCTCTGTGCTGACAGCCCAGAGCCTGGATCCTGCTTCCGATTTTGTGTCTCCCTCTCTGTCTGCCCCTCCTCTGCTCGTGCTCTGTGTCTCTCTCTCAAAAATAAGTAAACGTTAAAAAAATAATAATACAGTGAGCCTAGCGCATGTTAACAGAAATAACGTCTTTATGAGCAAAGCCATATTTTATGAAAGAAAAACAAATTAAGTGAGAGAGTGGCATTGTTTTCTCTTTGTGCACATCTCCCTCCTGCCTGGCTTACTAGGAGATCGCCGGATTCTCCTGTCTGCTTCTGCATTCAGTGTGTCGCCGTGTGTCTTAGTTGAAATGTATGAAGACACATGTTTGGGGAAGCTGGGGACGAGTTCCTTAATATCCTTTGCACGTAGTTCCAGAATTTTCTTTGATATTACACCAAAACCTAAACAGGCAGTTTCTTGAAGGAATCTGTGATGGGGAATCTGAAACCATATAATGAGCCGAGCATACATTTTATTCCATTAAAATCCAGTGGAAGGACTTGCACTTTGAGTGCCCCGGAAGGACCTTGTAATGCCATTTATCGATCACTTTGAAGATACTGGTTCACTGAGTTTTGCAGACCTTCTGAGACACTTTGCAAATGTCGGACACATTTCAGTATGTATATCGAGAAACCTCACTCATTAGCGTCACCCCCAAAGCTCATCTTCACCCCAGGGAAGCCGTCAAGCTCACGCTGGCAGATAGCTTTCCAGACGTTCCAGAATCCTGGAAAATCGTCCAGAGCTCTGCCACTTCCCAGTCCTAAGGTGGCCCTCCAGACTGGTCTCTTCCCTCTGTTGTGTCACTGTACAGATAACCTGAAAAAAAACACGTGTCCGTACGGAGAAAGCTTGTAGGATGGTCCCTGCCCGGGCAGGCACCCACTGTGTAAAGGCGAGTGCTACGACTTAGGACTCTGCACTGTTCCTGTGCTGCCGTCACCACTAAGATCACCAGGCGTCGTGTCTGGTGTGAGTTGACCGGAGCCCAGAGTAAGGGACGAAAGGTGTTTTGTGGAGCGCCAGACGGTGTGTTTGCAGACGTGTGTCTGCAGCCGCTCGTTCTGACAAGCCTCAAACTGATGGCACTTGCTCCGTGTTTGCAGGAAGCCAGGGGACACCCGTGTGCCCTCCCCCTGTCACCCTCTTCACCTCGCCCTACCTGCGTCCGCGGGTGTCGCTGGCGTGGGCGTCCGTGCCCCTCGCCCCAGACTGGGGCCTGCGGTCTGGCTCTGGTTCCGTGGCCCGGCACGGTGCCAGCGTGTGGTGACAGCCAGCAGTCAGGCGGTCGTTCCCGAATGAGGGAATGCATCCAGAGGGCGTATTCTGAACAGTAACCTCGATGTGGTTTCGGAGAGTAAACGGCATAGAAACGTTCTCATAAGCGCATGAGCTGAGCCGCTGACGGGCTGTCGTTTTTCTGTTTGGGGAATGTCTGACCTCTCTTCACCCCCACCCCGTCCCTTCCCTCGAGTCTCTATTAATTCAAAATAAAAATAGTAGAAGGCTTAGAAGCGTTTCACGGTGATTGTGGGTTAAGCATCTTTGCGATCAATATACTTTGCTTTCTGCTTTTCAGATGTTCCTCCTGCTGATCAAGAGAAGCTTTTTATCCAGAAGTTGCGTCAGTGTTGTGTCCTCTTTGACTTTGTTTCCGATCCACTGAGTGACCTAAAGTGGAAGGAAGTAAAACGAGCTGCTTTAAGTGAAATGGTAGAATATATCACCCATAACCGGAATGTGATCACAGAGCCTATTTACCCGGAAGTAGTCCATATGGTAAGTGGTTACAGTCTGGCCAGTGCGTCCCGACCCTGAGTGACACACAGGGCTCTGGCGTCCTTAGCACAAGCCGAGACGTTTGAGCCTAACACACTCCCCACAAAGAAGTCCTCTTGTTGCGAAATTTGTACTTGAAGAATGGAAGTCTTCGTAATGTGTCCCGTGTTGTAACGATAAGAGTTGAGGGAACTGGGTACCTTCCAGGGCCAGTCGAAGTGTCCTGTGTGTTAACTCCCACGAGTACCCTATGGGCCACATACATTAGAGCCCCCATTTGAGCACACTATCTTACCCTCTTTGATGTAGTAGTGCTCACTATAATTTAGAAGTAAACATGTTGTCCATACTTGTGCAGGAAAATTTAATGATGGGGCAGAGTTAAAACAGTGATGGGACCGGGCGCCTGGGTGGCTCAGTCGTTTGAGTGTCCAGCTTCGGCTCAGATCATGATCTCACGGTTCGTGGGTTCGAGCCCCATGTTGGGCTCTGTGCTGACCGCTCGGAGCCTGGAGCCTGCTTCGGATTCTGTGTCCCTCTCTCGCTCTGCCCCTCCCCCACTCGTGCTCTGTCTCTCTTTCTCAAGAATAAATAAACATTTAAAAAAAAAAAAATAGTGACGGGACCGAGCTGGTGTCAGGACAGTCTGCCCTGAGTGGCCGAGATGGCCTCTGTGGTCCTGCGGTTAGTTCATTGTTGGTTTCATTCAGGCCCAAATCTCCGTTCTCTGGTCACCTGCTTCGCAGCCTGTTTCTAGGCCCTTTGCAGGATCCCGTTTCAAACTTGTGTTGTTTGACACTGAATTTGTTTTCTGTTGAGTGTTTTTTTTGAATTGTTGGTGTCTCATCCACCTCTGAAATTAGTACTCCCTGGTTCTAAGGGAGTCCTTGTTGCTTAATATAAAATGTTATATCCTGATTTTCACTGAACTCCTCCTTAAGTTACTGATTTTTTCCCCCAAAGCTACATGTTTCAGAAGTGACTAATCTTATGACCTAAACTATGTTTATTTCTCACTTTAGTGTGTTTGCTTTGGAAAAGATACTCGAAAGCAATGTTCATTTTTGTGCTTTTCATAACCTGTTGTGTCAGAAGTCGCTATCAACTTATTTTAACTTGTTGTTGTTAACTCTTTTAAAGTTGAGAATTTACCAATGTGTGGTCAGCCCGAGGCTGTGAGGTTCCTTCCCATCACTCATGATGAGTGCCCTGACCTTTTCCTGTTCAGACTAAAGAAAATGGAAGTCTCGTTTTTTCTCTCCTTCCTTTCAAGCCTCGTTTACTTTGGAAGGCCTCCCAAAATGCCAAGATCTCAAAGAAACAACCTAACATTCTCCCTGACACCTTCGTAATTTTGTCATTCACTTTATAATCCTCCTGGAACTCTGTTTTCTTATAGTGCAGGAGAGGGATATAACTTTATTTTCTTATAAAATGATAGAAAAATCATTTGCCTGTACATCATGTGTTGAATATTCCCTTTTCTCCATTGATTTTAAATGCTTCTTTATTGCATATCAAGTTTATTTTATCTTTAAATTAAATTCGGGGTGCCTGGGTGGCTCAGTCAGTTAAGCACCTGACCTTGGCTCAGATCATGATCTCGCGGTTCATGACTTCGAGCCCCGCATCGGGCTCTCTGCTGTCAGTGCAGAGCCTGCTTCGGGTCCTCTGTCTCCCTCTGTCTCTGCCCCCCCCCCCCCCCCCGCTTGTACGCACGCACATGCTCTCTCTCGCTCACTCACTCAATAATGAATAAACATTTTTAAATTATTTTTAAAAATAATAAACTAAATCCATATTAAATTTATAAGCATATCAATTTGTTACATATTAAATCACATGGTTGGAAGGTTTTTCCATTTTTTTTTTTTTTCAACGTTTATTTATTTTTGGGACAGAGAGAGACAGAGCATGAACGGGGGAGGGGCAGAGAGAGAGGGAGACACAGAATCGGAAACAGGCTCCAGGCTCCGAGCCATCAGCCCAGAACCCGATGCGGGGCTCGAACTCACGGACCACGAGATCGTGACCTGGCTGAAGTCGGACGCTCAACCGACTGCGCCACCCAGGCGCCCCGCATTTTTTTTTTTTTAATGTTTGTTTATTTTGAGAGAGAGTGGGAGCATGGGACGGACAGAGAGAGAAGGAGAGAGATCCCAAGCAGGCCCCACACTGTCAGCACAGAGCCCGACCCGGGGCTCATTCTCAAGAACCATTCTCAAGAACCTGAGCTGAGATCAAGAGTCAGACAGAAATTACTGAGCCCCCCCCCACCCAGGCACCCCAGGTTTTTCCATTTTTAAGGAGGGAGGAGGAAGAATGCAGAACATGAGGCTTAGGTCAGCCTGGTTTGGGTCAGATGCCTGGCTCTGAACCGGGTCCCCTCCCCTGTTCAAATCAGTCTCCCTTGTGTTTACAGTGCACGTTACCTGGATGCCTGGGGGGGCCCCATTGGCTAAGCTCAGGTTATGATCCCATGGCTCATGGTGGGATCGAGTCCCTCGTTGGGCTCCACGCCGTTAGTGCAGAGCCTGCTTGGGATTCTCTCTCCCTTTCCTTCTGCCCCTTCCCTATTCCTGCTTGCGCTCGCTCTCTCTTTTTCCCTCTCTTTCTCCGAATAAATGAGTAAACATTAAAAAATAAAAAGAAGTGCACATTACCACAACTGCTCAGGATGCTTAAAGCCCCGGAACTCTTGTTTAGATTAAATTATCGTTACTTCTCTCCCTGTTGATAGTTGTGTCCTAACTGGGTTCTCTTCCTGCTCTCTACACTTTGTCCCCCACCCCAAAAGTCAGGTCGGTCTTTGGAGTGTTGGACAGTTGACCCCCTAAAGTACTTACAGATACTTACTGAGCATCCATTATGGGCCAGGAACTTTTTTAGGTGAGGAAATAGACTGGTGGACAGTATTTCTGCCTTCTCAAAGCCTCCCTCTTCGTGGGACAGGCAGAAGGAAGAAAGCACATAGCCAGGATGGTAGTTGATGGTGGTTTCTTGCCCTCTCAGAAGTGGAGACTGAGTGCCAGACTCACGCGGTCAATAGAAGGCCTCCACCCCCAGCAGTGCCTAGACCCAGCAGAGCAGGTGGAAGAAATGTGGGTCCCTTCCTGGTTCCGCAGGATGCCACGTGCTTTGCTGACCCCTGAAGCAGCACTTAGCCAGCCCCCTTGAGTATTGCCTGGTGTGTGTGTGGTCACAGTACCTTTAAAGATGTGAATTTCCACTTACTTTGAAGAATCCAAAGCTCTGTAGATGCTATACTCTTTATGCTACTGCTTTTTTTTTAATGCTCATTTATTTATTTTGAGAGAGCGCACTTGAGCAGGGGAGGGGCAGAGGGAGAAGGAGAGGGAGAGACAGAATCTCAAGCAGACTGCATGTTCAGCATGGAGCCCAGCGTAGGGCTTAATGCCACGACCTTGAACCCCTGACCTGAGCTGATACAAAGAGTCGGGTGCTCGACCAACTGAGCCACGCAGGCGGCCCCTTATGCTACTTCTTTTAAATGTGGTGCCTGTTGGGGATGCCCGGGGGGCTCAGTCGTTTGGGCGTCCAACTTCAGCTCAGGTCATGATCTCACAGTGTGCGTTCAAGCCCCACATTGGGCTCCTCGAAGACAGTGTGGAGCCTGCTTTAGATTCTCTCCCCATCTCTCTCTCTCTGTCTGCCCCTCCCCCACTCACATACACGCACTCTTTCTCTCTCTCAAAATAGATGAATAAACTTTAAAAATATGTATTTGCCCGTTAGATTGGACTGCTATATAGTTTCTGAATAAATGCATTGAGAAGTCATTCATATACGTGCAGTTCACTCATTTAAAATATACAATTCTGGGGCGCCTGGGTGGCGCAGTCGGTTAAGCGTCCGACTTCAGCCAGGTCACGATCTCGCGGTCCGTGAGTTCGAGCCCCGCGTCGGGCTCTGGGCTGATGGCTCAGAGCCTGGAGCCTGTTTCCGATTCTGTGTCTCCCTCTCTCTCTGCCCCTCCCCCGTTCATGCTCTGTGTCTCTCTGTCCCAAAAAAAATAAATAAACGTTGAAAAAAAAATTTTTTTTAAATATACAATTCTGGGGCACCAGGGTGGCTCAGTCAGTTAAGCACCCAATTTTAGCTCAGGTCATGATCTCACTGCTCCTGAGTTTGAGCCCCGCATCGGGCTTTGTGCTTGACAGCTCAGCGCCTGGATGGAGCCTGCTTCAGATTCTGTCCCTGTCACTCTGCCCTTCCCCTGCTCTCTCTCTCAAATATAAAAGAAAATATAAATACATACATACACACTTAATAAAATATACAATCCATGGTTTTTAATATATTCACAGTACTGTGCAGCCTTCGTCACATCTAATTGTTTATAACATTTTCATCCCTCTAAAAATAAACCCCAAGCCCATTAACAGTCACTGCCAGTCCTCCCTGACCTATCACCCCCAACCTCCGGCAGCCCTTTATTGCCTTTCTGTCTCTCGAGAGTTGCCTACCCTGGACATTTCCTGCCAACGGGGATTATATGATGCGTGGCCTTCCTTCACTGGCATAATGGCTTCGAGGTTCATCCGTGTTGTAGCCTGTATCACTTATTATTTGTGTTGCCAAATAATATTTCACGCTATGGACACGTACCACATTTTTATTTATCCGTTCATCCGTGGATGGGCATTTGGGTGGTTTCTGCTTCTTGGCAGTGACGAGCGACACTGCCGTGAACACTCCCGTACGAGCTGCGGTGTGCGTGTGTGTGCTCGTTTCCCTGGAGTATTTACCTGGGAGCGGAGCTGCTGGGTCCCGTGTTAACTGGGTGTTTAACATTTGGAAGACCCGCCAGACTGTCTTCCAAAGCGTCTGCCCCCGGATGCACCCCCACCAGCAGGGCGCGAGGGCTCCGGCCCCCCCCCCCGCCGCCCCGTGTTGTCCACACTTGCTACTGTCTGTCTGTTGGATGCTAGCCATCGGGGTGGGGGTGTGGTGAGATCTCGCTGTGGCTTTGATTTGCA